GGGGGGGGTTCAAATTAGGCACAGCAGTGGTCAAAACTTTACACCTCTCAATTGCTATCATGTCTGATGATGAAATGCGTGAGTCTTACGTAGATCTATCCAATTACCACCAGTGCTTGCCTTTCATAGGACCACTGTTTGACCTATTAAAAACAGAAACGTTTGAACATCTCCCTTGCTTCCACCCTCAGCCCCACCCACCAATGCCACCCCTCACTCCCATCATTGTAACACCAATTCGAGGAACTCTTTTCTCAGCTGGCCGTACGATCAGGGCGGTAGGCATTGATCAATCTAATTTCACACCACACCTCTGGCTTCTGGCTACGCAGGAAAGTTTCCGTAGTGGCTCGCTACTCGAGCACTCTCAAGGGCAGTCGTGAGGTTTCACACGCACTACCCTGACCATCTGCATTGCTCAGGGCCAGGGCTCACATGATGGGGTAACATGTAAACGGTCAGAGAACGTTATATAAGAACGTATAGGGTAACATCTACCACCAAATTGCACCCCTACTCCATTTCCTTGCCCTCGCCCAGCGGCATGGCCATAGCATAGTTTAGAGCCGGCGGAACCAAAGTTTTGTTTCAAATCAGGGCTGAGCGGGCAAAGCATTTTCCGTCTTAGACAGGGGAAACCCTCGGAAGGGAGCGGATTTTTCTTTCCGTTTCCGCGTTGGACAGGTTTCCGTTTTATACAGTTAAAGAGGAATATATCAAGGGCCTCCGTTAAGAGAGGTTTCCATTAAATACAGGTTTCCGATTAAGGAAGGTTATAAAAAATAATATTGTATATATTATATCGTTGTTAAACCTCTTCAATTTCGCTTAAACCACCCAAGACAATGTAGGCTAACTCAATGAGGGTTAGAAAAATAAATATTTATTTTCTTATGTTATGACGTTAACGAGGATAATGATTACACTACCGCGATTGTGATCAGACCTCGTAAGCGATCGTTTATGAGTCGAGGTTTGATCACGGTGAAATGTTGGTAAAGTGCATGCTCGTAAGCGACAACATTTTCATACGACAAAAGAACCGACTTCGGTAGAAGATGGTGGTCAGGACACCTTAGTGAGGTCAGGGTAGTTAGGGTTTGATTCCCCCCGGGTTACTATTAAAACATTATCATTTGCAATCTCATGGCTACCGCACCCTGCACTGGATATAAGAAAAGTGCCAGGACTGGTTGCCCTTTGCCGGAATAACGAGGCTGGTTGATGCGTGTACATTGTTTGATACTTCACTTGCATGTTCAGCAATGCGTTTTCTTATTTGCTCATTTTACATACATTACATACAAACTCCTTAGAGCATCTAGGGTTTAAATTTAAAAACAAAAGATTAAGTTATTTGTCAGCAACCTCAAATTAAGAAATAAAGATCATGCTCACAGGAGAACTTTGGCACTTGACAAAGATCTCCAAAGTCACACACACTCACGCCAAGTCTACTGTGAGAGAGCTGCTCGGGCGCATCGAAACTTTCCTGGGTAGCCAGAGGTGTAAAATTAGTTTGACCAATGCCTGCTGCTCTGACCGTACTTGCACGGGAGGCGTCGAGAGGGGTGGCATCAAGGAGTTTAGAACTATCCACAGAATTCTACACTAAGTGTAGAATTCTGTGGAACTATCTTATCTAGATTTCAGTGCGTAAGTCGGGCATTCGCTCAGCGCAGGTAGACCACAGTTCCGCCGCGAGAGAGGGCTCCTATCAGGCGTGCGGTGCCGCCCACAGAGCATCCTCCATTACTTTTAATCTCCTTGGGTGGCATTGATACTATTTGATACAGGATGTATTGGTTGACTGTGCTCATTGCACCAATGGCTGGGGCCTAGGGTGAGGTTAACGGTGGAAGCACAGGAGATGTTTAGCCCCGTTTCTGTTTTTTAATAGGTCAATCAGTGGTCCCATGAAATGCAAGCGCTGGCGGCAATGGATAAGTAGGACTGACCCACACCAATATCAGTATTAGAGAGGCTAGAATAGCACTTGAGATGTGTGAAGTTTTGTTGCTGACCGGGCAAGATTCCACCGGCAGGGCCTATCTATCTATCTATCTATCTATCTATCTATCTATCTATCTATCTATCTATCTA